AAAGGGATGGAAAAATGTTCTTCCCCTCTGTTTGTGGATTGAACTACCTCTCCTTAAGGATCCCAGCCCATCTGAGGACCATGATATTTGACCTAGTCAGCTTCTCCTTTCTGCAGTGAACCTGAGACAAGTTACTTGTGGGAGAAACAGAAGTTGCTTTCCCTCACGGTTAGCAACATTCAAGTCCAAGCTCAGGCATCCCCGTTGGACTGGTTTCTGTGAGAGCAGCAGACGGTAATGGTGGAGCAGGTGCAGAGAGCAGATCGTATAGTGAGCCAGGAAGCAGAGAAAGAGAGGTGCTGGTCCAACTCAGGCTTTTATAACCAGGAGGGGGAGGGAGGACTGTCTTCCAAGGGTAAGCCCCCAGTGACCTCAGGATCTCCCAACTAGACCATCTCCTAAATCCTCAAAGCTGGATTAGTTTTCTGTCTCTTTGTACCGTTAACTTAAGACTTTTAGGTTTAGTCGGCACCGCGGCTCACTAGGCTAATCCTCCGCCTAGCGGCACCGGCGCACTGGGTTCTAGTTCCGGTCGGGGCGCCAGATTCTGTCCCGGTTGCCCCTCTTCCAGGCCAGCTCTCTGCTGTGGCCAGAGAGTGCAGTGGAGGATGGCCCAAGTCCTTGGGCCATGCACCCCATGGGAAACCAGGAGAAGCACCTGGCTCCTGCCTTTAGATCAGCGAGGTGTGCCGGCCGCGGCGACCATTGGAGGGTGAACCAACGGCAAAGGAAGACCTTTCTCTCTGTCTCTCTCTCTCTCTCTCCTGTCCACTCTGCCTGTAAAAAAATAAAAATAAAAATAAAAGACTTTTAGGTTTAAACGTCGGCATGAGGTTGCAGGCTAAGTAACAGTCAAAGCGTCACGAGTCCTAGGCCTCCAGTATCAGAACTGCCCCCCAGAGGTTTCTGCTCTCCTTCCTTGGTAGCTCAATTCGGCCTTTAAAGAAATAAAGTAAATTTTGTCGGGCATTTTAAAGTGTTCTATACCACAAGTTTTTAAACTCTTTCAAACTTTTTGTAATGCTGCAAACGCTTAACCTCTCTAAGCCTCGTGTTTTCATTGGAAAATGGAAATAACAGTACAACAGTATCTTAGATCCGGGGTTCTCCGGAACATAACACTGAGATAGAAATCTGCCCCAAGACGGTTATGGGGAAGTGTCCGTAGCCTTGGCTGAGGGGTTAATGTCATACTTCACCTCCCACCTCCCATGCATAGTCCAGAGTTTAATGCACCAACTTCTCCCAGCCAAAATCTGTGAACCTTTGCTGGCTCAGAGTGTGAGCTGTCTGAGGACACAGGCCAGTGCCCTTCAGCCACCAGGGGCTGAAAACCATTCAAGGGTAGTTTGTCATTGCTTTGTTCTATTGGGTTCCATCTGTATCATTAAACTCTCCCTTCTGAGGACGTGCATTTTTCACTCCCTTTGGTTCGTGGTTACTTCCTTAGGACTGTAAACTAGGGTTAAGTGTCAGTGCTGTGCTGTAGTGAGTAAAGCCACCATCTGCGACGCTGGCAGCCCAGATGGGCAGCGATTCATGTCTGGCTGCTCCACTTCCAATCCAGCTCCCTGCTAATGGCCTGGGAAAGGCAGTGGAAGATGATCCTAGTGTCCGGGCCCCTTTCACCCATATGGGAGACCTGCATAAAGCTCCTAGTTCCTGGTTTTGGCCTGGCCCAGTGCTAGACGTTGCAGCTATCTGGGGGAGTGAACAGGTGGATGGAAGATCTCTCTATGACTCTTTCAAATAAATAAAATAAAATAAAATAAAATAAATAATAACTCTAGGGTTAAAGTTGTATACACAGTGAAAACAGCATAAGAGGTTCAAAGTATGTGGATCCTTAAGACTTCTCAAGAATGCTCACGTTGCAGACTGACATCTGTATTAGTCAGGTTTTCATTATACAATGAAATACCCAAGGCAACTAACTTTATGAAGAGAAAGGGTTTGTTTAGCTCACAGTTTTGACAGTTCAAGTTCAAGAACTGACATCTGGTGAGGGTGGCACATGGAGAGCCAGGAGACAGGGGGCAGCTGGGCCTGCATAGCCTTTATAATTAACCCTCTCTTGAGAACTACTTTCCAAGGGTAGGCCCCCAAAAACCTGAGGACTTCGCACTAGGTCACCTCCTAAACACCTCATTGGATATCCTTTCACTCCTTAGGACCACAAGTGTATGGCTTTGCAGTTTAAGCATCTGCATGAGTTCCAGGGACAAATCACGTTTAAGCCATAGTAGCCACCAACCCCTCATAGTCAGAATAGGTGACATTTCTCTGACAGAGTTGGTAAGGCTGCCTTGAGTTTGTCATGTAGTACAAAAATGGTCCTATAATTAAGTTCCCATATCTCACTTGAGGCTGAGGGATGCTCACTCTGTGAGGCATGCTCAGTGGCTGGGATCAACCGAGGGAGTAATAGATTCATGGAGCAAAGACCTTGCTCATTCATTGCTTAAAGCAACAGAATAAATTACCTTCCCATCTACACTATTTTCTCTCTCTCAAGCCCATTAAGTTACTCATTTTTCAGGTTAAAGACACCAATGATTTATCTCCACCGTACTAAACCCCCCATCTATCTGCCTTTAGTTATGGCTGCATTATATCTCATAGCTCATTTTTAGATTCTGGAAGCATAAACTCCATCCATTCCGATTTGACCACCATTGCATCTGGGCCATTGCTCTTTAAGCTTCCAGCTGCCCAGTCAACTCAGCCACTGCCTTCAACTTCTTCCACCAACACTGATCTCTCTGCACTGGTCCCTCCTCAACATTTGCTTCCTTTGAATCTTGCAATAATATGTCTCAGAATAATACACAGTTATGACCACTTATACTCCCACTTGCTTCCCTGTTTTAACACAAGCACAATTCACCTCTCTACAACTGCCCTTCCACCAACCAAATCAAGGAATTCCGTGTCTATTTCTACCCTATATTGAAGCAAGTTTTACGCTGAAGATATTTCTACACCAACTTATGAAATTTTGTTTTATAAATGTCCTGTATTTTTTTTTATTTGAGAGGCAGAGAGACAGAAACAGGGAAAGCTGTCATTCTCTACCTCACTCCCCCAAATGTCTACAACAGCCAATCCTGGGCCTGGTCAAAGCCAGGAGATAGGAAATCAATCCAGGTCTCCCATGTGGGTGGCAGGGACTGAACCATTTAAGTTACCATCTAGTGCATCCCAGGTTGTGGATACAAATTCTATTTTTAAATAAAATAAATCAAGTTAATGCATATAAAATAAATACCATGTCTTGGAAACATATTTCTGAACGTTACTAGTGGTACAACCACTAGTAAATCTCATGGTCTTCATTTTAAACTGTAGGAAATTGTGGTTTACAGAAGTGAAGAAATTTGCTTTGGCTCACAGAGTTGATAAAGTTCAAATCAGGATTCAATTTGAGGTTCTGTTTGGTTCTCCAATGTGGTGCCATGGTTTGGATGTTATTTGTCCCCAGAGGCCCATGTATTGGAGAGTTGGTCCCCTTCATGGTGATGTTGAGATGGTGGAAGGGTAATTATATCATGGCCAGGCACCACCCTTGGAAAAGATTAGTGGAATCTCAGGAGACTAGATCAGTTCCCACAAGAATAGATTGTCAGTGCTCACTTTGGCAGCACACATACTAAAATTGCAACAATTCAGAGATTAGCACAGCCCCTACAGGAGGATGACAAACAAATTCGTGAAGTGTCCCACTTTTTAAAATACTAGATATAGGGGCTGACATGATGGCAAAGCTGGTGCATCCCATATGGGCGCCGGTTCAAGTCCTGGCTGCTCCACTTCTGATCCAGCTCCCTGCTAACGTGTCTGGGAAAGCAGAGAAGGATGGCACAAGTCCTTGGGCCCCTGCACCTGTGTGGGAGACCTGGATGGAGTTCAGCCTCCTGGCTTTGTCCTGACCCAGCCCTGGGTGTTGTGGCCATTGGGGAGTAAACCAACAGATAGAAGACACCTCTCTCTTCCTCCCTCCCTCTCTCTCCCCCCCCCATCTCTCTCTCTCTGTCTCTCTCTCCATCTTGCCATCTCTCTCTGTATTTCTGCCTTTCAAATAAATAAATCTTAAAAAAAGGGAGTTTATTCCCATCATTACCTAATGATAAATATGAATTTTAGTTGATATTTAAGAGAAATGTAAGCAACTACAGTTTGAACAAACCCATTTTAAGGCAGATATACTTCAAAACAATTTATCCAGGCTTTAATTATATGTTTTGTATTTGAAAGAAAGAGACAGAGAGACAGAGACAATCTCCCCAAATGCCCATAATGGACAGGGCTGGGCCAAACCAAAGCCAGGAGCTAGGAACTCAACCCAGGCCTAACCCCCGGGTGTAAGGGACACAACTACTTGAGCCACCACCTGCTGCCCCTCAGGGTACACATTAGCAGGAAGCTGGAGTGAGGAGCTACAGCCAGGCATTGCAACCAGGCCCTTCAATATGGGATACTGCCATCCCCAGCAGCTATGCCAAATACCTGTTTCCTAATTCTTATTTTTCAAATAAAAAGACACAACCTCATTGTTTTTCACACTGAGATTCAGTATACGATGGATCTGAACCTGCTTCATGCAGAAAGTGAAACATACCACAAAAAAAAACAGGGAATAAGTCTTTAAAAAACTAATCGCTTTCCGACCTCTCCCCGACAGTCCCAGCAGATTAGCCAGCCTCACGAGGGATTATATGCTATGGAGATTTTCTTAGTAAAGAGCTCAGAAATCAGATCAGAGTCAGAATAACAAACAACCTTTTCAAAAGGCAGCTGCTCAAAGCAAACAATCATTTTTCACTTGTTTACTTAGTGTGGAAGGAAATAAGAGCTTCCCTCTGCTCTGCCCACCCAGCAGTACACTCACACAGGCACAGATCAAATCACGACACCATTATCCCCATCATTAGTACAATCTATAAAACTGAAAGGCGACATATGAAATTCATCCTGGAGAAATGACGACCAACAGAATTCACTTTAAATGCAAAGGAGCAACAAAATTTATTGACTGAATTAAACACAACAGGTAAAATGGCAGTGCTGTATTTTCATTTTAAGATGATCAGTTGAAACAAGAAAAGTGCTATTAGTCCAAGCTTCTTACATTCATTAAAAGGGTGACTATCAAAAACAGCAACATGCACAGTGGAACGTATGCACAAAGTGGAATTATATCAACAAATATACAAAATACCCAAAATAAAATATTTACAGGTTTAAAAATATAAACATTGATTCATCTATCCCGTTAAACCATTGGAGTGGAGAAAGGAGCAAAGACCCTATTGCTATTTAGAACCATTTTTTTTTAAGACAAGTTTTTAAAACATAGAGTTAGTTCTAGGAGACAATTTTTGATGTTTTTCAGGGGTTTAACATTCTATTATAAAAATAATATCTATAAACCTACTAACAATTTTCCTCCTGTGCACAAAAATAATACAGCCAAAAGCTTTCCCCAAAGACACGCCTGACTTTCAGGAAAACTAATTACAGAAATGCAGTTTCTCATTTGTGTTTTCTTTGCGCTATTTTCAAATAACCTGCAATTCTTTATATTACACTGAGATACTTCATATAAATAATTTGGGCAAAACCTGAAGTTCACAGTGAGCCTGCTAGGGAGCTGGTTACAAGTAAAACTGACAGGAATATACTTTACCTGTAACATCAAAGCTATTTTCCCTGATATTTTTGATAAATCTACCACTCTCAGATAGTGTTCTGTGAAATTTATCCTGGAAGCAATGGAAATGTTGAATATTATTTTGTTAGAGTTTCTCCTCCTTTATTTCAAAGCAAATGTGTAGGAGGGGAACACATGTTTGTGCTGTGAATATTTGAGAAAATTCATTAACTCTTTCAGGCTACCTGGGGCTGTTGCATGTCATGTGAACAAGTATTTACTTGTGTGTCTATTCCATGCTTCTATGCTACCTGATCAGACAATCCTAGTATTTCTGCCTATGTGTATTAAATGATCCAAGTGCAATAGTGTCTAAGAAAGTCCATTATGTCTCCAGGAACCTAGGCTATATTTTATTAAACGCTTTATTAAATAGAGTAGAACCTCACTCTATCCACTTACTGAATAATTTCCAAAAATTACTCTGGTTTACAATCTGATAGAATAATCACCTGTTATTGAATTCTTCCACTGTATCTCATTAAAATAAGCTCTAAAATTCATAAAAATTGGACCAAATGTTCGTAATCCATATATTGGCAAAATAATCTCATTAGTTGTGGCAGCAGTGAAATTTCAAACTGATTTTCCCTAAATACTGAGAGAGGCATCTTAATAGAATCAGAGTGGAAGAAATCTCAGGTTGCAATCTGTTGGATTTACTATTGAAATTGCTTTTCTGGTTTTTGCTGTTGACGAGGCAGTCTTAGATTATAAAATCCTATGTAGACCCACCAGTATGGAGCTCCAAAATAATTCATGAATATGGTCCAGATTTGGAAAAGCTAGGGTGAGAGAAAGGCCCATTAGACTCTGAAATCTGCCTTTTAGACTTGCCTGTAATTTAGATGATAAAACAGCCATCACGTCATTTTAGGTTCATTTTTAACTAAAATAGTCATCCTCGTCATTTTAATGGTGTCCACAATCATAAAGATCTCACTTAATTCTTGCAGTTCAGAATTTTGATCAGTTTCTTACTTAAAACAAATTCTACAAAAACTGAGCCTTATGGCTAAAACAGGATTTATAATTAAAACATGAGCAGTAGAGTTAGATTTCTGGTTCAAATTCCATCCCTGTAACTAAATGGGTGGCTTTGGGCAAGGTAGTTAATCTTTCTAGAGTAAGAAGCCAGTCCCAACCCTACGTAGTTCTTGTGAACAGTGAAGATTAACAGTATAAAACCAAGCACAGAGCACCACCCCTGACCCCACAGTAAACCCTCAGTCTGTGGTAGTTACTAGAATTAAATGTAAGACACGTTCATGGCAACTGACTCATAGAAAATACTCAGTAACTATGAGTTGAATGAATTAGTGAATCAGAAAATACACGCCAGGAGTCACTGACTGTAGCCAGAATAGAGCACTACTTTTGAAAGAGCCCGGTGCTTTTTTCTGGAATTCAGAATTCTATCAGGGCAAGGGATAAATCAACTCGCTACCAGTGAAACAACACAGATGCCTACTGTTGGTGAAGACGGGAGTATCGGAACTCTTGTGCACAATTGGTGGCAATATAAAATGGTAAAGCTGCTATGGAAAGCCCTAAGGCAATTTCTGCAAAAACACATTTTAAAAGAATTACCCTATGAGACAACAATCCCACTCCTGGGTATTTATCTCCAAAAATTGAAATAAAATCTCTGAAGAGGTATTTTCAGCCCCATGTTCACTGCAGCACGGTTCACAATAGCCTACCCGTGGAAACAACCTAAAGGCTGTTGATGGATGATAAAGCAAATGCGGTGTATTCATACAATGGAATATTACTCGGTCTTTAAAAAGGAAGGGAGCCCTGCAGGATGTGACCATATACAAAGACCTGGAGGACCTTAAGCTCAGTGAAAAGAGCCTGTCACAGGACAAAGGCTCTGCAGTTCCTCCAATATGAGGCACCGGGAATGGCCTAACCCTCACCAGTGGAGACCAGAGTGGTGGCTGCAGGGGCTGGGGAAGGGGGTTGTGGGGAGTTGCTGTCATGAGAGATGAATGAGTTCTAGAAATCTGCTGTACATCATTGTGCCTTTAGTTAACAACACTGTATTGTGCACTTAAATTTTGTTAAGAGGGCAGGACTCCTGTTAAATGTGCTTACAATTAGAACACACAGCCAGCACACCCAGAACAAGCTGAGACTGGGCATATGTAGGAAAGCACCCAGTAGATCACGCTCAGAGTGAATGAAACCCTTAGCATGGAAGAGGGACGGCCAGGCAGCAGAGGAGACTTCTTCGGTACTTTCAAGGGAGAGGACACCTGGGAAGAAGGCCAGGTGCCTGCCTACCAACTGAACAACATGGCTGCTTTCCCTGGAAGTGATTCTGGGTTCTTCATCTCAGACGTAAACCCAGTTTCAGCTGTATTGGCATGGCTCAGGTTTTTCTACAAAAGTAAACCATTAATGATATTAAGTAGTGGGCTCTTCCATGCAGGTACTTCAACAGTTTTGGGGAATTACAAGATAAATTTAATCTGGTACAAAAAAAAAAAAAAAGAAAGAAAAAGAAAAAAAGAAATCCATGCATAGTTTCTCCATAATACATATCTTCAGGAACTTTTGAAGACCTCTCATCTGCATGGGTTTCAAAATGTTTTGCACCAAAATTAACTTATCTCTTTTGTCTATGAACATTTTCAAGTCCCGACGCACAGCCATCAATCACTAGAGTTCATACATCTGTCCCAGAGAATAGGAAAAAAAGAGAGAGCAAGAAAGACAGCAATCAGAAGGGGACAGAACAAACCATGAGGATAAGTTGAAGATGTCACACCAAGGAGATACAATGACCTACTCTACACGCTGTTAAGAGTAAATATTTGTAAATCTCCTAGCAGAGTCTGGCACATGGTAACTATTCAACAAATGTTAACCATTATTATAATTACTATTATTATGTTTAGAGAACTTTGGCCTAATTCATACACCCCTTCTTCAACTTCACTTCATAAACTATAAGTAACAAAACAAGTCACAGAAAAACTGAAAATAAAGGTATTTTGAATTAATATTCAGGAAATCCAATTACAGCCCAGCTGTGTGGGCACTGCAAACAGAATGACTTTTTATTAACCATTAGATACAGTAGACACCTTCATAAATATGTGATGTGCTGTATTCAAGCAAGTAGTAATCATCCGAGAGAGCCAGCTTCAGCTCTGGACGCTTTGTGACTGTGGAAATGTGCCCAGGATTCAGTCTGAGAAGGAACTCCTTTCCATAATCGTGAAACTCTCCCTCTGAATCACCCCTTAACCACCGTCTCTGCCCCGAGATCAAGACGTCCCTCACCCGTGGCCACCCGTGGCTAGCGCTACAACTGGCTCCTGGAAACAAAAGCCACAGGGAAGAAGCTTCTGAGAGGCATTCCACAGCCAACGGAACATCTGCAGAGCACAACGTGGTCGCCAAACCAACGGCCACTTTGAGGAGGAGCCGCACTCACACAGTACACCGACAGCGGCACCACTCAGCGCTTGCCTCTTGCTTCCCCACCTACCCAACAAGACTGCTCTGCCATACTCTGGGCCCAGATGTTTTATCCATAGGGTTGTGCAATGGCCTGGGAATGTCCAAGGCCAAGTTTACATGGTGAAGAATTGTATGGAAGAGGGAAAAGGAACACTAGGTGAGCTGAGGCCTTTGGGTTCCTCCTCTCATTTCATCCAAGACACTTGTAACTGGCTGTCCACAGTGGTGGGAAGGGCAATTGTGATGCTTTTTCCTTAGGGATAAGGAAAAATTCTTGGATTCACATCTTACCTAGGATAAGGTAAGCCGAGGATGATTATATGGGAATGTACTAAATGTGTCTCAGCAAGAGCCACATGTGTCTGCATACTTGCAGTTCGAGAGAAATTTAGAATAACGAAAAGCAGGGAATGAGTTCGACCATGGTGATGGTCTGAACATACTAACAGCACGTGGAGTGTCCCATCGTGCTGTCAGAGCTCCAAGCAAAATACGATGAAAGCAAAAGAGCAGACAAAAAGCTACAAGCCCATCTCGTCACACAGAGCAAATGAACTTGACAAAGATGTAAAAGAGTGAAAACTCAACAAAGGTCAAAGCGATCTTGCTACCTGATAACCTCTTTTTGCCTTGATCCGTGTGTTCAGCAAAGACCTATTTGCATGTTCATCTAAATGCAAACACTGAAATGCTACTTCTGAGATTAAGAAATACATCCTTTAAACTCAGTAAGTCATCACCTTTATAGATATTAAGCCATGCACTTAAATAGGCAGAGATTTTATGGAAATCATATCAAAAGGAAATCCTTAATATTCTATATCCCATTGTTGTTATTAGGTAAAATAATAAAAATGTATTTCCTCTTGTAATTATTTAAAATGCTGTCATAAAACTTCTCCCAGTTGTTTCAAATGGAAGAATAAAGGTACTAACTACAATCAGTAGTAGAGCAGAGTGTTTCAAGTAGCATTTTTGTGTAATGTCGATTAAAGTCAGGGTGTCTTCGTGCAGAGCTATTAAACTGACTGAGACACTTAAGTCCACTAACTGATTTGGCTTTTTCCTCTCTAATTTGGGCAGCTGTATGACCAAACGGAGTTAACCAACCAAGTGAGTTAGAGTCATACAGACCCAAGAAAGGTATCATTAGCTCATAGCCAATCCTTCCACTAACCATCAGCAAATATGGGCCCGTATAATCCTCACAAGCTTATTTGACAATGCATTGATAAAAATCAGAATGTAAATCCATGAATATTCTAAAACACAATCTCCACAACACAAATGAGAAAAAACTAGCCCTTGGCACAAGGAAGCACCTCTAATCCCTTTTCCATGATGGGGAAATGCTGACAGTGACTCCCCATCATATGAATTCATTGCTCAAGTCCTTCCTTTGACTGTTATGGGTGCAATTCCTAAAGGTATAGGGTTTAAAAGGAAAAAAAAAGACTGCGTGTGGAAAATACGGCAAAAAGAAAATATCTTATATCTCTAACAACCGGTTAATTGGCAGACCAAAGGAAATCATGGTAAATGTGGCTACCATTTCCTCTTACTTAGAGAAGACACATCACAGTGGTGTGATCCCAAAAATCAGCCCCAAATTGTAAAAGCAAAAATAGTTTCTTCTAGTGTTTAAGAATAAATTGCCTTTACTGTTGCAATAGTCTCATCGGTTCTTCAGATGCTCTTTTTAACTTTTCTGTACAGTTGAACAAAGGAACAAATAAAACTTGGTGATTGAGTCACGCACAGGAAAAATATAATCTTTGCAGGAAAATGCAAAAGGAAGAAATAAAGATCCTTTGTTTTATAGCTAGGAATGGAATTTATGTTCTTTCCATTCACCAGGGAGAAATGAATCTATTTTGAGTCTAAATAGTACTATCAACATTAAATCAAATTTAACTCCCTTTTTCAAGGAGGGAATAATTTCTAAAAGATTTCCAAATCTACAGCAGCTGTCTTTTGTCTTTTAGTTTGTGCACCATGGAGTGCATGAGCGCATGTGAGTGTGAGGTGCTTGTATGAATTTCTGGTAATGTGTTCAGAATGCTTAAGGCTATGTCTGTGTAAAGGACCTCCTCCATAGACATAAGGAAATTAAATATTAAAACCTTACTTTGAAATAACATTAAGGGTCGGAGACAATGCAATAAGAGCCATTAATCTGACTAATAAAGGCATTCAACAAATCTCTGCCACCTCTTCTGATCAAATCACAGCACATTTAAAATGGGGAGCAACCTGCTTTATGTTCCTGGCTCGTTTATTTTGTTACTTCCTTCATCTTATTAAAATAAATTTTCATATGTTGAACCTGTCCTCTTCTTCCCATTACAAAATGGAAAACAAATTTAAGAACAAAATAACATTTCATTAGTTAAGCAGTGTCTCTGGAAAGTGGGAGTTCCACAGAAGCATCGCTGCCATTTACATGCGTGTAGTTTCAGTTGAATGTGTGTCATCTGCTATGATGAACCAACTCCTAATAGAAGCCCGGGCCTTTTGATTAAATACACCAAAGTGCATTTCAAAAAAAGGATATTAATTCACTCATGAGATGCTAAAAGCATTCTAGGAACTGCTTCCATTTATCATTCAAATGACCAAGGCATACAATAACTCTTTCTGAAATAAATGTTGCCTCTGAAATACTAGAAAACATACATATCAGTAAACAACTTGTCAAAAGATTTCTGAGCAAAAAATGTTCACCACACACAAGTTTTCCAAATGTCATATTCTGACTACATCTGTCTAGGAATATAAAGCAAAAGCAAAAAGTCAAATGATATGCAAAACTGTATTTTTTATGGTCTTAAGTGTTCCTCCTATTGGACTCCCGATATTGAGGAATGATTGGGTCTAGAATTTTATAACCAAGCTCAAAATCGCTGAAAAACCAGGGTTTGGAGAGAGAAACAAATAGGCTCTTATCCAAGACACAGCCCAGCCATTCCTCTGGGACATCAACACAATAGAATTTTTTTTTTTTTTTTTGAGAGGGAGAGAGAATGAAAGCAAGAGAGAGAGCAAGAGCGAGAGTGAGAGAGAGCCAGAGAACCCAAATAAAACAAAACCAACATCAATGGTTTGGGATAGTCATCAAATCTAGCTCTCAGGCCAGATTTAAAATGCTAGGTTATTAACAGATTATAAAATGTTAACAGTGGGATAAACTGTAAAAGATGCATTATCTACACATGAGAAGGTTACAGCTTGTAAATGCTACAATACTGTATCTGTTGGCATTGAGTGAAATCTTTCCCTGATCCTGATGTCTGTACTGGGTAGGGGAAAAGAAACACCAAGAACCTGCTCTACTGTGCCTTTCATTTCTCCCCAACCAAACCACAACTCCCCTTTTTCTCTTATTTTCAGCTGCATACCTAGCAACTGAAAGTAGCGAAGTTTTTCTGCCCATCAACAACATCCCCTCTGCTCATCAGGTAAATATCTGGCCCTTTCAGCACTGAAGGTGATATAGCAAAGGGTCTCCCCCCCACCCCCAATGGAAAAAGGACAGGAAGGGAGGAGTCCTGGGAGAGGAGAATTCCCCTGTTTCCGCAACCTTTCCCCTAGGCCCTCTGATTCTGGCACACCCCAACAGCCTGGGGTGACTCTTACTTAGGGTTTGGTTCCATCCTGTTTTCTGCAAAGGCAAGTGAAGGTGACTTAAAAGAAAGAAAAAAAGGAAAAAAATGTAAAAAGAAAAAGTGCTTGAAAAGAACTCTCAGGGACTTATCTGGGGAGGAGGATGGCAGGTGCACCCTGCCCCTGCCCACAGCACAAGGATCTAGAAGGCCCGAGCTCAGGAGCAGGGGCGGTCTTCCACGACTGTCTTTAGGGGAAGCAAGACTTCCTGTAGGGGGTGTCCCGAGCGGAAGTAGTGCTCCTTGACCTCGGTCTGGCCGACCTCACAACTTTTTGGCACTGTCGTGGCACGCGGCCGCCGCGCGGAGAGTGGTCCCAGCCAAGGCCCTGTTGCTCACCCTGCGGACCAGCACTTTGGAAACAGGGATTTTGGTTCTGGGCACCTCGCTCCTGGCTGGTGGCTGGTGCGCCACGGGGTGGCTGGCTGGCAGGTTCGCGAGATGCTTGATGCTAATGGGGATTTTGGAGTCCTTTAGCAGACTGCCTGGCGTTCGCAGCGGGCAGGTGATAGTGCCTGGGGACACGGGCTTCAGGCGGGACGCGCAGGACGTCTCCTCGCTGGCAGGCGCAGCTGCTGGGCTGGCGTCCGGGTCAGCGTAGAGATCGTAGAGGGCATCGCCGCTATATCTGTCCCGGGGCAGGGCCGCCTTTTGCCCGCTGCCCGCGCCGTCTCCCTCGGAGCCCCGGGTGGTGGAATCCCAGTAGCCCTCGTCGCTGTTGGGGACTCCTTCCTGCTGCTGCTGCTGCGGCTGCTCCTGCGGCTGCTGCGGCTGCGGCTGCGGCTGCTGCTGCTGCTCCTGCTCCGGGCGCTTGGCCTCCTCCTTGGGCTGGAGCTCGGTGGGGATCCGGCTGAGCCTCCTGCGCTTGACGGAGGACGCGTCCTTGGCCGCGTCCACGCCGCCCCGGGCGTCTGGACAGGTGTCGGGCCCCGCCTTGGTCTCCGGCGCAGGTGCCGCCTTGGCCGCCGCCTCGGGGGCCCCTGGCGCTGGCTCCTCCGTCTGGGACAGCATGTCCCAGAATTCCTGCAGGTAGGTGTCGTCCACCTGGTCGGGGCTGGCCATCTCCTCCCCTCCTCCTTGGTAGGCCACCACGCTGGGGGTCTTTCTAGGGAGCACTGGCTTGCCCGGCCCGGGGCCATGCTTGTCGCAGCTGGGACCTGCCTCGTCCTCTTGGTCTGCAATAATATCTCCACAGCCTGTAAGAGAGTCAAAGCTTTTCAGTGAAGTCACGTCAGAAAACATCAAACAAATACGATCGGCCGACGGGTCTGAGGGCGGATCGGCAGAGGAAGGGTCGGGGACGGCGGACGCCCGGCCGCTGCCGCACTCGGAGTCCGCAAGCGGGCCGGTCTTTCCCGGAACGTCACCTGTCCTGGAAGCGTGCTCGGCCGCGTGGACCTCGCCGGTGCCCGGCGAGGCGGGTGCCCCGGGCTTCTGGGCGCGCCTGTGCCCCGCGGCGTCCTCTCCCCGGGCGCTCGTGTCGGCGGGGTCCCCGGGGCTCGGGGCCTCGCGGCAGGGGCGCGCCGGGGCGGGCGCCTGCTCTCCCCCTCCGAGCTCACCTGCTGCGTCCCGCGGGGCGTCCTGGCCCGGGCTCGGCGGCTCGCGCGCCGCCGCCGCTCGGGGCGTTGCCTCCTTGACGCACTCCAGGCTGGCGGTGAGCGAGCCGGGCAGGATGAGGCCGCCGGCGCCGGCCGCGCGCGCCCCCTTCTCCTCCTCCTTGCCGCGTTTGTCCTTCCTGGGCCAGCGCATGCTGCTGAACAGCCCTTTCAGCCCCCTCTTTTGTTTGCCGCCGGCCCTGCTCGCCTCCGCCGGGTCCCCGCGGCCGGGCTCCGACCTGCCGTTCTTCCTCAAGAGGGAGAAAAAGCTGTGCGACTTGGCCACCGAACTGGGCGCCGCGGAGCCCCCGCCGCCCCCGGCGGCTCTGGGGGGCGCCGGGTTGGGCCGAGCCCCGCCGCGCGGCTCCTCCTTCCTGCCGCCCTCCAGCACCACCACCTCGGCCAAGCCGTCGTGCGTCCTGCTCCGCACCATCCCCGTCGTCGGACCCGAGCTCTTCCCATCCCCTTTGTTTTTGACCCCAAAAATGCTGGGCATGGTGCCACCCGATTTCCTCTTCTTGAATAATTTGAAGGCAGCTTTATTAATCTTGCCCGACGGCTGCTCCGAGGCCGGCGTTTCGGCGGCACAGTCACAATGCAAGTCCATGTCTGTCGCGAGGGTCCCGGCCCCGGCCGCCTCCTTGCTCCTGCAGCCCCCCGCGGACGCGCGGTGCCCGCCGCGCGCGCTGACAGCCCCGCCGCCGCCGCTGCTCCTGCTGGTCTCCATGGCAACCGAGCGGGATAAGCCGCTGTCGTCAGCCGTGGGCCCGCGCCAGGCCACTGTCATCCGCGCTCTAAATCAGCCTGGCCGCTCTGCCGCCGCCGCCGCCACTGCTGCTGCCGCAACGCGAGCACGCAGGAGGCACCGGCTCCCCGCCCGCTCAGCGCTTATATAATCCCCTAACCCACTTCCACGCCGCGGGGCCGGCCGCCGCGGAGCTGACTCGGGTGTGCGTGGCCGGAGAGGGCGGCAGGGCCTTGAGCTGCCCGCACAAAGAGGGGTCCTCCTTGCTGAATCCAAATCCCACTGAGTCCTCTTTGAGACCGGATCCTTCTCGGAGCCCACCCCTGGAGTCCTGGAGGGCCCCCCCAACACACACACACACACACACACACACACACACACGGGCAACGCAATTCAACCCCACACACAGATTCGTACTCCTCCGAACGTGCATCTCGGACTTCACGCATTCTTCATGCGGTTCCAGAGCCCCTCTTGTCTGTCTCCAGCATTTGGGTTCCCATCCCAGCAGGCACGAAGTTGGTTGACTACCGTGGCTTGTCCAGCGCTGATCACAGGCAGCGGTTGCATCCTTTGTTACTGTAGTTGTGATTCTGGTTACACATGGCAGGTAGCATCGGTCAGCTCCGTGGAGTGGAGGTTGGCTGGTCCTTTGGGACAGCCGTGGCTGGTGTCTTAAGACTCCAATGACAAGGGGCTGAAGCCACAGAAGCCGCTGCCTGGCCAGCATTGGGCCACAAGAGAGGCATTGCCAGAGAACATGGTGTGGACAATCATATTCACTCCACAGGTGGGCCACAGAGTCCCAGGATCTTCTCTGCCCTTTGCCAACCAGCAGGACACTGGCATCCTAACTCCTCCTGCTGCTACCACCACCGGCCCGAGCGAGGGACTTCCCCAGGGCTGTCCTGCGGTTCTTCCCCTATAGGGCAGGAGAAGCCTGGCAGGGGTCCCTGGGTGCCCACAGGTCTCTGCTGCTGCTCTGACACCATCCCCTACCCCACCCAGAGAAAAAGAAAAACCTTCTGCCAGAGAAGAGCCCGGTCTGGGGATCTCCTCTGTGTTCTGACTTTGAAGGTGACAGCTCATGTTGCACACTTGACCTCTGATGTCATGAACTGGCTGAGGGATCCCCAGCAAGAGAAGCAGGTACAGCCAAGGGGTCTTCAGAAGGTGAAATAATGGAGCAGATATTAAGAAAAACCATGCATGGGTTTCAGAATTTGGGGGCGAGACTCAACCCAAGCCTCCCCTATAGGTGGCAGGAACCCAAATACTTAAGCCACCTGCTGCCTGCCCTGGTGTACACCAGCAGGAAGCTGGAATCCAAAGTGAAGTAGCCTGCAACCCTCGTGCTCCAATATAGGAAGCAGGAGTCCCAAGAGCATCTTAACCACTGTGCCCAATGCCTTCCCCAAAACCTGACTTTTAATTCCATATTCCTGTGGGCTTTTGGAAGTACCCGGTCTATAAGTTGTGTTTCGTATTAGCTAATAGTATTGTTAAATATTATTTAAGCATATGTAATATTACATAGACCCATGAATGTCAGTCTATCCCCTACTCATCACAAGCTCCACTTTTATGTGCTTCTTACATTATGCCAAGAAATCCCAATTCCCACCCATCTTTAACCTGCGGTTTTACTAGCAACATATATTGGCCATTGCAGCATCCGCAGTCAGGAAATACACTTGGCTTAAATTTAGCCATTGAAGTTAACAGTTGCATTCTTGCCCTTCTTTTTATTTTTATCAAGAACATTGCTTCCCAAAACTAATAAATCACTGAGTTTAGACTTAGAAGTTTTTATTCCCAGGTTTCTTTTTTTTTTTTTTTTTTGTATGATTATTTTTTTTTGACAGGCAGAGTGGACAGTGAGAGAGAGAGACAGAGAGAAAGGTCTTCCTTTGCCGTTGGTTCACCCTCCAATGGCTGCTGCGGCCGGTGCGCTGCAGCCAGCGCACTGCGCTGATCCGAAGCCAGGAACCAGGTGCTTCTCCTGGTCTCCCATGCAGGTGCAGGGCCCAAGCAGTTGGGCCATCCTCCACTGCACTCCCTGACCACAGCAGAGAGCTGGACTGGAAGAGGGGCAACCAGGACAGAATCCGGCACCCCGACTGGGATTAGAACCCGGTGTGCCGCAAGGCGGAGGATTAGCCTAGTGAGCCACGGCGCTGGCCTATTCCCAGGTTTCTAAGCCCACTCATTCTCTACCTCAATTAACAGGTGTCTCTGCTGTGTGGCAGGAAAAGCTGAAACCAAAGAGAAGCTTCTCCTGAATTTTTTTAATTGAATGCCTTTCTCTCTCTCTCTCTCTCTCTCTCTCTCTCTTGATTTATTTTAAACATTTGAAAGGCAGAGTGACAGAGAGAGGGAAAGATAGAGAGGCAGAGAGAGATCTTCCATCTACTGGTTCCCTCCCCAAATTCCCACATGGGTCAGGCAGAAGCTGGGAGCCCAGAACTCCCTCTGGGTCTCCCATGTGGATGGCAGGGGTGCAAGTACTTGAGTCATCTGCTGCTGCCTTCCCAGGTTACATTAGCAGGGCGCTGAATTGGAAGTAGAACAGCTGAGACCCACAAGTGCACCAACACAGAGGTGTCCTTGTCACAGGCTGGGGCTTAACTTGCTGAGCCCATGAGGGCCCTAAGTTCTCTTGATTCTAAGTGACTACTGTATGCCAGGACTCAGACTCTCCGCATTGCTTTGCTCAGAGACCAAGTCCGAGGAGCTATGTAGAGCAATCTACTTGTTATTTCCAACAACCTTCTGGAGAACAACTGGAAGTCTCTTGATTCTTGTAGACAGACACACAAGACTGTGTTAGTCTGAAAGACTTTGTGACTGGAATCGAGGCAGGGAGGGTGGGAAATGAAGTAATCTGTAAAAACCCTGCCTTCTCTGTTGACCCTGAGCCTGAGCATGGGGAGCAGGTGACCTGCTTACCCTCTGAGGACAGGGCACAGGTGAGATCTGAGTTATATGAGAATCCCTGGGTCCCAGGGACACATTCAGCCAAGGACTTTGGGATAAATATTCCCCTGGGGGAAACCTGCCCTGGTGACTAGTCATTGACTATGATGTCCAAGAACGTGAGGACACCTAGAATCTCTGGAGGAGCTGGCAAGGCACGCCTTAGAACTGTGATGAGAGTGAGGACCCTCCCACTGCCTCCCACCCAAAGTCCTTGCTAGGGGAGCTATTGGGAAAAGGGGAGTGAGGCCGGCTGACGACGAGCTCACTGGAAACCTCAGACAGGTGCAGGGTGAGCCTCCTCCTCTCCTGCAGGGGAGGGAGCCAGGAGTGGGATGGTGTGATGGTCAGAGTCCCAGCCGAGCCACTGGGTGACACATGGAAGTGAAAGAACATGAGGATCAGCCACTGGTCCCTACAGTCACGGGTTGGGGAGATGCAGGTTGCGTTTGCACAAAACAGGAACTTTTATTTCCTAAAAGACAGGTAGAGGCACCCCACCTTTGTTTGTGGTTTCTTCTTTCATCCTCCGTTGCCCCTCCCCACCCCAGTTTAGGAAGTGAGCAGAAAACTAGAGTTGAAAGCAACAGATAACCAGGACTTGGATGGCGGGGGTGTGGGGGGGTACATTTCAGGACAGAGCTGTTCCAAAACAATGCAACGCTTCACACATGTGAACAGCAAGTGGATTTTGGCTGAGACACACACGTGCTTTTCTTTTTGGGCATAAGGGAGTGTTTGTCATTTTGTCAGGGCTTCTTTCTCTGGGCAGCTGTTTTGGAAAAACCCGTTGCACAAGAACTGGCCTCCCACAGCAAAAGGTGCCACCATGAGGTCAAAGAAAGAGGGTGAATCCATGATTACAGAATGAACTGTATTGGGAGAACTCACAGACAGAAGCGTGGTCTTGGGCGGCCATGTGGACCCGGGTGCATGAGGCAGGAGATAAAAGGTTTTAGAGACGAAGGGGGTCTGTGGTTAATCACACTGCACCTGCACTTTCTCAAAAAATATTAGCGTTCATAAGACGCATTCCAGACATCAGATAAGAGGTACTCTGGGCAGCAGATAAGAGCTTTGGAGAAGAGCAATGGATTATTTCAAAGACTTTGTTTATCCCCTAAGGTTTGGGATGACCATTAGGGTCACCTAGAGGACGAGTCAGCATAGCCATGCAAGATGGCTATGGCCAAGTCAAGATGAATGCCTACATCAGCAGGCCTCTCTGGAGAAGAATATTCAACACACGAAGAAAAGGGAAGAAAAACACACGAGGAGGAGTCATTTGCAGGGTTGAGCTCATCATCGTGTCCTGGTGAGAGTGTCTTCTAACCTGCCCAGCCCTGCCTTTGTTCTCCGCTTACCAGTAGTAACGTGGAACTTTCTGTGTTAGGCGAGCAGCCCAGAGGTAACACAGATAGGGCAGAGTGAGGAGTTGCCCTTCCAGCCATCATGTGGCTCCTGCTGGGGACTCCCCAAGTCACAGCACTTCCACTTGCAGAGCTTGCTGGCTTTGATTCAAACTTGCCGGGGGTAAAGGTTAGTCAATGTGACTTGGAAGTGGTACCTGAACTGGGACACTGCCTCCCATCTGCAGACTGCTCCTGGCAGATCTGGACCCCAACCCAGTTAGGAAGGTCCAGCTCCCTGTTGCTGGTCTTTCCGGCCTGGGGCTATCCCCCAAGGGTAGCTTTCGAAGCTCAGATGCCAGTGAGGATGCTCAGATGCCCAGTGCAAGCCCAGGCTTTACCAGCCCCCATCCTGCCCCTGTCCTCAGCTCTGCCCACACATCCAAGTCCTATCGTTGTCCTCCTGAAGGTTCTGTGAAACCACAGTGTGGAGCACCCTGGTGCCAGGAGCGGAACGTGGGGTGCTCTTTGCTGGGAGCCTGGCCCAGGGCCGCCATGCTACGGGGGCTTCCCTGTGCCTTCCCTGCCTGGAGGACGGGGCCCAGGGTAGGGTCAGCAGGACGAGTCCCGAGCCAGACTGAAGCTCCCAGATTTTCTTTAGCATACTCTTGATTCCTGATTTTTCCTAAACTTCAGCTTCCACAGTGAGTTAATGGCTATTTTGTGTATACATTTGTTCAGAGGAGAAATTCGCTTCTAATTAGTGATGTGCATGAGTAAGAGGCCAGCACAACTCAAAATTTTCCACATTAACCCCGGGGCGCACTTGAGGCTGCCAAGGGAAGGGGCTCGTCTCAGGACAACTCCTACGATGGCTGTGCAGTTATCCAGCAGCTCAGGGAGCGAGGTGTTCTGTGGGCTTAGGATGTTGCCTGTTTCCAACCTGCATGTATCCTCTGTGGGAGAAGCCAAGCCAAAGCAAAATGAGCACCGCGCTGGAGCGCTGATGGCACTGGCGTTTGGCAATCAGTAGAGGACCCCATTTCCTGGAGCTGCGAAAACCAGGTGTCACACACTGGCTGGCATAGTAAAACAAGAGAAACCCATTGCCTTACAGCTCCGGAGGCTGGAGGTCCCAAGATCCAGGTGCTGGTTGCCGCCGTTTTGACCCCAAGGGAGAGTCTGTTCCCTGCCTCCCCGCTGGAGTCTCGCTGTGACCGGCAACCCTTGGCTTTGAGACGCATCATTCCCGTCTCTGCCTCTGTTTCCCTGAGATGTTCTCCTCCGGGCAGTCCTTTTGGATTAAGGCCCACCCTACTCCAATACAACCTCATCCTAACTGGCATCTTGTTTTCTTTAAAGATATATTTATTTATTTGAAAGTCTGAGAGTTACACAGAGAGAAGGAGAGGCAGAGAGAGAGAGAGGTCTTCCATCCACTGGTTCACTCCCCAATTGGCCACAATGGCCAGAGCTGCTCCTATCTGAAGCCAGGAGCCAGGAGCCTCCTCCGGGTCTTCCCATGCAGGTACAGGGGCCCAAGGGCTTGGGCCGTCTTCTACTGCTTTCCCACGCCATAGCAGAGAGCTGGACCAGAAGTGGAACAGCCGGGCCTTGAACCTGTGCCCACGTGGGATGCAGGCACT